ATGTCAAGGTCTACTTTCGATATTAGCCGGGGTAGTCGGCTATGACGAAGAGTTCGTTCGTCGTCATTTTAGGGGCAATTTTTAGCATCACGACTACATTTAGAAGTAACGGACTCACGTATAGGCTGCTTTTCGTAGTGGGCGCTTTACAGACCGGGCTCGGCTTCCTATAGAAGCTATCCGTCTCTAGTTTATTCTATATAGGCGCGATCATGCTAGGTGGACTTCTACTCACGTGTAGAAATATTGTTCCTGAGGTCGTAGCTTAGTCGATATACTATCAGATATAGAGCGACATTTTACGCCCTTAGTGTAGTAGGACCGTGCCTAGTATATGTACTTTTATATAAGACGAGCATTAGTAAGTCAAGTCTTCACAATCGTATGACCTTTGACTAATTATCTTCGCTAGGAACGTCGGCTTCCTTAGATCCTAGACCCCGAACTAGCTATCACTCTTTCTCCTCGCTGCGCCCGCGTTAGCAGTACTAATTCAGTCTGGCTGGGAAGTATGTTTAAGGGGAAGAATTGCATGTCGTAACGTAGCACCAACCCAGGGCTAGAAGACACTTATTAGCGTTGGCCGCTAGCCAAGCCGTTGTAGCTCTACTTTCTCTGACAACATTCCACGTGCAAATCATTACCCGCCTAGCGTCCGGGTATCCTGTTTGGTATTAGTGGATTGGATTGCTAGTTCCTTATGCGATGACAAGAAGAAAGGCAGAGGCCAGGCCGCTGTCATATTTATGGTCATGTACGCAGGTATACAGGGGGTCTTGTATGCTTCTTTCTTGCCCCCCGCATAGAAGGCCGTCGTAGTTAAACATCAATAACAATCAAAAACAACGATGCTAAGATCAAACGAATAAGGTATCAAATTTATTGCTACTCAGTTACAAATTTGTTATAGGATTGACCCTGAGTCTGGATTGACTCGGGACCTCATAGACTAGACCAGTATGATGATTGACAGGAGGCGCTGGTATTTCTCTTTTATGTCATAGAGTAGGCCACTGCATGCACCACAGCGGCAACCCCAACCAAACATAAACACATCTTTCCATGCAGTTCCAGACAACAGAGCATTCGTGCTACCGTAATCATCTGCACCGCCTCCTGTACTTGTAGCGGTCCTCCTTTAACCGAAAAGATCTCCCCCACTCGTTTGCCCCGCTGCTGCTGTCTCGTGAAGACCAACGTCTCGCAGTTGGGTGGTAAAAGACTGGCCTGGACCAAAACTAAGACCATGTAAGAGGGAAGGAGGAGAAACAGTTGGGCAAAAAGCATGAACCCCGCTATCAGGATGTCGGATCCCACAATATATGACAGTCCTACTATCGCGACTGCCTCCGGTGGGGCGAGGCTATCCTCGAATAGAGCCGGCACATACGTCATCACCGTATTGGCCGCAGCATAGATCAAAGCGGGAATCACTAGGGCTTTCCATCGTTGGCAGTCACGGGGTTTAGGCATGAGGCGCACCTGGTCGCGCGGAAGGATGGTATACGCGGTCCAGAAAAAATGGGTCTCCGCTAGCAGGACTGATGTAACGATATAGGCGACCGGACTGGGAAGTAGAAAACTCGATAGTTTTACCACCGAGGAGTGCATCGCCCAGTAGGTATAGGCGGAACCGATGCCATTAAGGAGAAACCGGAGGCCGCCTTTACGGTAGATGATGGCGACCGTTCGGAGCAGTTGGCGGCTGGAGGGAGGCTTCTTAGAAGCAGTTGCTTGCTTCTCCACAGTTTCAAGGATTAAGATAGACATTAAGACATGGCTAACAACATATCGGATCTGAGGACGATTAGCCTCTGCGGGGGGAATAGGGATTTCCTTGTTAGTCGCTTACCAGGATGTCAAGGGTAATCCCTAGAGTAATCGGTACCAATAGTAAAATATTATCTGTCTGGGCAGATTCTTTTTGTAGGAGTTGATGAGCTCGCGCAAGTAGTGGACCATCTCCTGTGGAATCGATGAAGGTGTTGAAGAGTTGGTGGAAGAGGGTTAACATAAAATGTGGAGATGCCATTGTGGACAGTGATAGAAAGTTGAAATTGTTTCCCGTCGAAAACTAGAGGGCGACAGGCGTTATATCCCCTTGAGTCCGGTAACTCCCTCTCCTTTGGGTGTATCTCCCTGAGCGACTTAGGCAACAGCTCAATATGATAGGATACACCAGTAATGGGTCAAGTTAGTAGAAGTAATTCCACGAGACCCGCTTTGGTCGTTCGGTTCGGTTCGGATGGCCCAGGGCCAAGGGGCGTAGTGTCACCATAAGCATTAGCTTGGCATTAGCTTGATCCTTTTGGCCTTGGGTCTCATCCGAGATTTTTGTGATAGTGGAGGGCGTAGATGAACCCTACCCGGCCTCTAGAGACTCCTATATGTAGCTTTTACACGGAGTAGTAAAATCTGTTTTTATCAATTTTTACTGTGACTGAAAAGCAAGGCAAATTTGTATGGTAGGTAGGAATCTCAAGTGCACAAATCATGCTGTATCATCGCAGCAAGACATTCGAAGGTCGCAGTTGCCGATTTAGATCAAATAATCCAATGTCTACCTGCATTTGTTCCTCGTGTACTTTGCTGGGTCGCTGTTTGTTCACATGCAGATAGCCTTCACATTGTCCAATCACTTTGCTTCACCATCACTCATTTCGAATCTATCCTCCATATTATCGGTAGGCATCAGGCCCCATCGGCTATTTGCTCCATCAGTAGACTAAACGTTTCAAAAAGGAAGCCAAAGCTTCGAAGATGGACAGGTTCCTCCAGGACCCAGAGAGCGAGAAGTTCTTGAGTGAGCACAACCGGGGTCTCGAAGCTGCCGAGGCCCTCAGGGGAATGCCCTTCGAACTAAAGATAACACGGGATGAAATTTTGAAGCAATTCAAGTATCGGCAGAAGACGAACAAAGATCAATCACGCGGCCAAGATAGCGCCAGCGCGGTGGATGTCTCTTGGCCCTTCCCATCTATCCACCGTGTCTCGCTCCACTGAAAGGCTTGAAAAAGGTCATGGTGAAGGATTTGCTTCTTGAAACTCATCATAGGGGCTCTTACATTCTAGTCAGATCAATTACGCAGGCAGAGAACATGGCTGCGGTTATGGCGATTGTGGAAGACGAACAAAGATGCTATCCCCCTCTGAATTTTGAACGAGAAGCTCCACTACCAGGATGGCTTTGTTGATAAAGGGCAGATTTTACTTGTGAAGGAGCCATACCTGACTTTGATGCCAGATGCTGAATACGGGGTCAGAGTTGATCATGTTTCTGATATCATGTTCATCCCAATGTTCGACAGGACGGTCCCAGCAGCTTGGCGAGAGCGGCTTCCAGAGAATGAAACCTCTCAGTGGATGGCCGGGAATTGGCTAAGCCTGGGTAACGAGTATCTCAACCGGGGGAAATTCTATTCTGCCACTGAATAGTAAAGCCCCAGTAGACTATTCGATAGAGAACAATGCTGACCAACAATACTTACTCCAAAGGATTGGAGTGTTCGCCCACAGAGGAAGAGACCCATTACCTCCTATACTACCGGGGCTGGCCTTCTTCCAGGTCGATGAATTGGATGCATCTCTGCGAGATCTTGAATGCCGTTCAAACAGGCCCAAAATCCGACAAAGCCCTTAGGGGCAAAGCCCAAACCCTGTACCGCCTGAAAAGGTTCCGGAAAAGCTGCGAACTATTCACGAAGCTCTGCAAGAAACACCCAGAAGACATCAGTGCCAAGAACAATCTTCGTGAAGCTATTGCACGTCTCGCAGAGCAAAATAAGGGCGGGTACAATTTCGGCAAGATGCAGGAGAAAGCATCGAAAACTTACCCGCCACTCTTGGATCATGCGACATGGATTGGCCCAGTGACAGTCAGGCAAACTAAGTCTCAAGGACGAGTTCTATGCACAACAGAGGCAGTCAAGGGCGGTGATTTACTTCTCTGCGAGAAGGCCTTTGCATACGCAACCGAGCACCCTAGCAAGCCAAGGTGGAGCAGCACACTCCATGTCAACAGCGAAGCGCGGACGACCACCCGAGGAGGCCAACTCGCGCTCGCGTCGTCGATCATCGAAAAGCTGTACAAAACCCCACCATTGGCAGCAGCAATAACTAATCTCCACAGCCTCGGATTCAAGCAGGTCTCAACAGGCCTCGTTGATGGCAAGCCGGTGGTAGACACGTAACTAAGAGATAAGCCACTCTATCTTAAATACCCCAAGCTGACAAAATCCCATTTTTCCCTGCAGATTCCAAGTCGCCCGCATAGTCTCCCTCGACAGCTTCGGCAGCCCAACCTCTTCGAGAGGAGACCATACCTACAACGCGCGCGACGCAAGCGGGAGCCCCGAAAGGCTGCACAACTGCGGCATATGGCCCTATGCCTCAATGATCAACCACTCATGCATGAGCAACGCACACCGCGCCTTCATCGGCGACATGATGATCATCCGCGCAGCCACCGATCCCCGCAAACACCGACCTGACAATGTGGTACCTGCTCCCTGCTCCGGAAAACCAGCCCATGGACTTCTGACACTGGGGCTTCGAGTGCTCCTGCGCCATGTGCGCCGATATCAAGGCGACTGAGTCCCGCGTTCTCGAGATGTGGGTCAGACACCGCGCAGATCGCCATGGCGCTGGAAAAGAGCTCTGAGTACAGTCACAACCCTGCTAAGATGCTCATTGAGCGTCTCACCGAGACGTATCCGCACCCGCTGGAGCAGGTGCTGCGTCTTGGGTTGTGGGAGCCGCTTACTTTGATTGCTGGGGTTTCTGACAGTCTGAAGCAGCAGAATGAAGCTATGGAAGCTGTGGGTCAGGCTCTCGCAGCAGTTGGGTTTGTGCTTGAGGGAGGTGTGGAAGGGCTGCTTGTTAAGAAATGGGGCCTGGCTATGGATAATCTTGTTGTTGCGTGGATTATCCTTTGGAGGTCTCTGCTTGAGGTTGCGCCTGAGAGGGCGAAGCAGGCGGAACGGTATGCTCGTATAGCTTACTTGATTTGTGTTGGAGCGGAGGAAAGTTTTGATGCAACCTATGGAATGAGCTTGAAGGTGGCTCATGAACCTCATGCTGAGGAAGGCCAAGTGGAAGGATGGGTGGTTTAGGGGTTGTAGATTTACCTGTATTAAGAGGTGAATATGGCAAAACTGTACCTAGATATGAACATTATATCACGACAATATCGAATGGGTCTCTGTCCTTTGATACTGTCGTAAATCAAAAAAGAAGCTTAAATTGTGGTTTTCGGAGGGGATACAAGAGGCTATAGATACAACATGAAGTCCAACTCGTATAGATGGGCAGGAATTATTCCGATGTTGCGGCTTCGCTCCTGAGCAGCAACTACCTCGTATCACAACATCACTACCTGGCTATACAAGTGCTAAATTTCTAATGTTATGGGCCAGGGAACTATCAGAGCCATTTCAAATAACGTTGGCGATTGGAGAGATAGAAATAGAACGGTTGGTTTGGCTTAATCCCAGCTTTCTCTAAGTTCTCTTTGTGCCTTTCCAATGGAAAGAGCATGTATTTCTTCCGGTTTGATCAAAATATCCAGCAAAGTTTCTTGTTCCAGCCTATCTGTAAATCGATTCCCGCCTGTTATTCATAATTAGCGAAACATTCTCTGCATATCCAAACCTAGGTAGGATACTTACACATCGAAACACCCATACATGCAGTGATCAATCCCGGGGCTGTCTCATTAGACGATGCGATAGCTCAGCTTCTCCAGAAGCCCCTCACGTTGGATTAGTTTGCATCCCTATGGAAAGTTCCAGTTCCAGCTATGATGGCAACTCCATACAGTGACGATACATAAAGTCATGTATCTTTGAAAGATATTGTAATGGTAATCTTACAGGAATATCAATGCTCCAAGTCTATTCTTAATATGGTATAGTATATCTTGTAACATTAGAGTTTGAGAAACAACCGAAGAGTCTAGATGGTGATGTCGAATACTACATACGGTTGAATACAGGATATTTTACCCAAAATATCGATGGAAAGGTCGACACCTTACAAAAGTGTATAGTTAGTTATTACTTGTTAACTAGTCATCATTCCGCACAGATCATTTGAGTTAGTTAAAGAGTTCAATACCACTGAGGTTACCCATACATTGCTGTACCGACAGATTTCTATCATAATGTGCTAGAAACCCTGAAACTCGCACTGCTCAATCACAACTCGTGTTCTGAATCAATAACCATTTGACCGGTAACCACCAAGACTACCTACGGACATGCCGTTGTAGACCTTCAGCCACTTTCGTCCCGCGTTTTGGATCGGAGGGGAACCGGATTCCATTAGAGCCTGCTCCCAGATATTCAGTCACGGAGAGAATGGTTGACTGGAGCCAGAGATTTCCCACCGGATCAAGTCAGTCGACTTTGCAGTGTAGAGATAAGAGGCTCTGAATTGCATGTAGCAGTACCCATCGCCCTGTCGCTCGTCAATGAGAGGATTTGGAATAGCCGTTGTGGCTATGTGCAGATGCCAAGGGTGAAGTGGGACCCAATAAGCTTCTAGGTAGTGCGGTCGTTGCGCGACTGACGGTGGTTCTCACCCGCTCCTCACCCTGTCTAAGTTGGATAGTACACTCACCCTTCTCACCCCTGGTCGCGCGACGCTAAAGCAGCGCTCACCCTGTACTCACCCTGGGGCACTACTGGCCGCACTTAAGCCAGCTGTTCTACTCAATCAATCATTCGATATGCCTTTCCCCCTGAAGCAGCGACAAAACCTTACTAGACTGGGTGTGAAAAGTTGGGGCGATAGTGGTGGGCTCGAGCGGTAACTTCACACCCTAGGCGAGCATCCTACCTCGTACTTCTTTTATATGAGTGCATATGTATTCAACCTAATTTGGTCGTACTATAGGGCTCGGCTCACGTTGCTAGTTCAACGGTTGTGGACCCCCGGGGAGTCCCGTCCCGTCCTGGTACTTTCACACTCCACCTTCGCTTTTCTCCCTTGACAGTTTTTACCTTCCAGCCTTTGCAGAGGTATCGACACTATGGCTGAAAACATGGACCGAATTGCGGTGGTAAGTGCTGATTTCATACTCTAATGTGGTCGTTCTCACCTCTCGCCTAGGACCCGGATTTCTACACTATGGCCACTGGCTACGGCATGGGTCCGCAGGACCTTCAGTCGTGAGCGCCACTCGGAATCAAATATATGGTCAAATCCTTACTCCAGCATGTAGAGATACAACCTCTCTTGCGTCCGCGATCGCGAGGGGACGAGTAGAAAACGGCCGAAGGTCAGTATACTTCGAGTCTAAGATCGCTTCCTAAACTAACGCGGCATTTAGATACCAAGCCATTAAAGAAGATGACTACTGGTTGGTTCCGATGCAACTACCTTGTTTTACATAAAGTAACAATATCAAGGGGCCCCTCTGACGAGCAGCAATTCGAAGCATTTGAGATTGGGTAAACCGCATCCCATCCCTATACCTTTCATTTCTCACTGACTAGAAGAGCTGTGGTATTAACTAACTCAGCCATATGATGTTTCTCGTGCTAGATCACGATCAGCCGAATCCTCTTTTCCGTGCCCCTATCGGCGATTCGCCCAAGGTGAATTAATACCAGGCGATCCTCGAACGTTCCGCTAACTTCGGAGTATAGAATATTTTAGACATCGGAACTGGCCAAGGGAGTTGGGCAATGTAAGTCAACAAGTAACCCTTTTTAAGAGAATCTCTAACAAATCCTTAGTGACGTTGCCGATCGCTATCCGTTAGGTACTGGATTTCTTGATCTGACTCCTTCTATTCTTCACCGCACTATTCTTAACCGAACTATTATTAACTGAAACCAATTAGCCACCGTTCGCGGAGTGGATATCTTCCCCCCACCCGTGTCATGGATGCCTCCGAACTGCGTCTTCGAGGTAGATGATGTACTTCGCGAGTGGACATGGAGAGAGCCATTTGACTTTATCCATATGCGCCTAATGTATGGCGCATTCCCTCCCGAGGGTTGGCACAAGCTATACAAACAAGCCTACGAGTGAGTTTCAATCTGTATTAATTTATTTTCTGAGACATCGCGCCCTAATTTCTTATCTATTTGTAATAGCGCCCTAGAGCCTGGTGGCTGGATCGAACAAATGGAACTAGATGTGCGAGTCTATAGCGATGACGGTACCTTGAAGAAGGAACACCAGCTATATGGGTGGGGAGACATGTTTATTAGATGCTCTGAGCGAGCCGAACGGTCACTTAGAACCCATGAGACGATGCGCGGCGCTATCGAGGAAGCTGGGTTCGTGGACGTGCATGAGGAAAAGTATAAAATTCCTATAGGACCCTGGGCTAGGGATAATACACTGAAGGAAGCCGGACACCTCCAGTATGGCCATTGGAACGCCGCCCTAGAAGGTTGGGCGATGTGGCTTCTCACGCACTTTGGAGAACCGGAGCCGTGGACAAAGGAGGAGGTGCAGGTGTTTCTGGCTAAAGTGCGCACGGAGCTGAGCAATCCGCATATTCACGCTTACGAACCTGCGTAGGTTTTCTTTTGAATCGCATCCGTGGATAGCTGAGGACTTGTTTCGTGCTGATAAATTTTAGGAACCGCGTGTGGGCAAGAAAGCCTACCAAAGAGGAATTGAAAGCGAAGGAGGTAAAGATCAAGGCCGAGACATCGCCGTAACGATGTCTTGGATCCGCATGGCAGATGGAGATAGTTGTTCTTTTGGCGTGCAGGGACTTCTGTGACCACTCTGTATTCCCGACATTTACGCTCAAATATTGCGATGTCTATTCGAACAGCACCTCTCATTGCTTCCTAACAAACTGGTTACCTACATCCGATAGTTGCAGGCGAGCTTATTATGTATCACTCAGGGACGTCCACCTGCACCTAGACATGGTCCTCATTTTTACCTGTAAACTTCGTGGTGATCAAAAGGCGGCAAGGGAAATCCATGGAGTGCAGTCTGAAAAATCTGTATATACGAAGAAAAGATCACACGGACCTTGTAGCTATCTTCCAGTCATGTGCAGGGAATCAGTAGCAGCACGTGGCATAAATCGGAAAGAAATTGACAGATGGGTTGGCCAAAAAAACGCCGGGTGTATATCAAACAAAAAAATGGAGGGAAAAGTGCAGATGCGTATGCAGTTGACCATTGAACATCACTAGTGAAGGAAGAAGGAAAAAGATACAAGGAACAAAGTTATTCATTCGGTGATTTGTTCAAGGTCAGTCAGAGACAGACACGAAGCGAAGTTGCGCAATAGTCAACAAGAAAAATGTACTCGATGCTGTGCAAGAAGCATGGCAAGAAAGAAGAAAATAAGAATGAAACGCTGATATATAGATCAAACCAGCAGAACATTTACAGTGTCACAAGGACAACAAGAGCCACCAGGACACCGAAGAGTGAGCCACGGAGGACACGCTCGTTCTGGCCGGCCGCACCGCTGTCCTGGGTAGGAGATCCCTGCGTGAAGCCCGAAGTGGAAGTCTCCGAGCCATCGGTGGTGGAAGTGCCAGAGCTGGAGCTGGAACTACCAGAGGAAGTGTTGTTACCGGCCATGCCACCGGAGCCGCCGGAGCCGGTGGGGATGCTGTTGGACGCAGAGCTGGACGAAGAACTGGACTTATCGGCGCCGAGATCCATGTCAAGACCGGTGGCGCCGAGGGAGGCAAGGACGGTGGAATCGTCGGTGATGGAGATATCGCTCTCCATGGCCGCGGACTTGGCGTAGATGTAAGCCTTGTCGCCGCTCTTCTTGGCATCGGAAGGAGCATCGTAGCACTTCACGCTGACCTCGCCGACGGTGGCATAGTCGTAGCCGACTTTCTGGATGTCCTCGCTGTTCCAGTCGATCTCACCGCCGGCCCAGTCGATGGTGCCCTGGGCGTTGCTGGGCTGGCCGGCGGGCCAGAGAGACATTTGAAGGCGGGCGGGTGTCTGGGGGAACTCGTACTGCTTGGAGGTCTCGTTGTAGGTGTCGGCCTTCTTCAGGGTGCGGTGCACGGAGCCATCGACGATCCAGTCCACCTTCTCGGGTGTCCAGTCGATCTCGTAGGTGTGCCAGTCATTGAAGGTGTCCCCGCCATCCACGGAGATGTTGCCGCTGTTGTGCCCTAATTCATAGAGTCAGTATTGATTATTCAGATCAGATATTTCTTCTTTTCTCTCGACTTACAGTCCAGAACACCCTGCCAGTAGTAGTTGGTCTGCACGGCGGTCAGATCAGCACCGACCCACTCGTAGTCGATCTCGTCCTTAACATCGGACAGAAGAATGAAAGCAGTCACGACACCCTTGCCGCGGGAGCTCTTGAACTTTCCGGAAATCTTGCCGTACCAGATGTAGTGGTTGTTGGCGAAGAGAGTACCGACACTCTTGGCAGGCATGGTCATGATCAGATTGCCATCCTCGGTCTTAACCTTTCCACTGTAGGTCCAGTCGGCAGCGCTGGCGTTACCAAGGTACTTGTCCTGGGTGACGGCATTGTCGAGGTTGTCCCAGGTGTAAGTCTTGCTCTCGCAAACGGGCATAGGGGCGCAGGAATCGAGAGTGAACGAGGCCAGAGGGTCGCAACCGCCGAGGCAGTAGGCGCCAGTACCACACTCACCATATTCTGCATGGAATATTCAGTTAGCTACGAATCGCGATCTGGAGGGTGGTTATCACTCACGGGAGCAGCAGGGGTATTTCTCCTCCTTGCACTGGCTGCTAGAGCTGCACTTTTGCGCGGCGAAGGCGGTCACTGACAGTGAGGCCAGGAGCAAAGGTGTCACGAAGCGAACCATTATTATGTACTGTTTGTATATAGAGTGGAAATGACAGAATATCGAGGAATTTGAATCCAAGCCACAGGAAATGAGGGAAAGTGTGGGGAAGGGAAAAAAAAAAGGGGGAATAATGTAAGTTAAAAGTATATAAAAACGAGAGGCAGCAAGTGAATACAATATATATCACTGCGAGGGCGAGAAATTATAACAGAACGAAAGCAGTTCTGTGGTCGCTGGAAAAAGAATGAAAACGGAGGGGAGGCGAATAGTTATTAATATGATATCCCCTCTTGGAAAATGGAAAACAAGAAAACATGAATTGACAGAGGCTAACCCAATCAGGATGGACTCCGTCAATCCTTGGAAGGTCGGGTCCACGGGTCGGAGCTAAAAGGGTCGACTTTCTAACCTTGGAATGATTCTGATTGGCTACTCTTTATCTCATTGACTTTCTCAATTTTTAATTTTCCCTTTCTTTTGTGGAGAGGTTCGGGCATTTCCGTCTGTGCGTGGTAATTGGATTGTAATTCTGGTATTTTAACTTAGTATTGAACAGCTGATCCCAGGTGATAATCGCCGGGTTCAACGTGGTATGACAAAGAGAAAGATAGTCATCCCTGCGAGGGAATTTGGCCAAGTTAGCCAATCTTATCTTTTAGCTAAATTAATATATCCGACCAATGATTCCCAAAATACAGGAGTCCATGCGTGACGTTTAAAGTGAGACAGCCCCATGTGTTTGCAGTGGAAATTGGTGTAAAGTGAATAGAATACTAGCGCGAGCATTGGTACTTTCCGCTTTCCCCTTTCTCTGCGGAGAAAGCACTTTTGATCGACATACAGTTCGGACAATGTCTACGGAGTACGAAGTACATACTTATACAATGTTGTACTTCATACAATGTACTATATGGAGTGCGAAGTACATTTTGTTGTCTACGATGTATATTCCACGTTGTACATTTTGATACCCCTGGAGCCGGACTTCCGACGTCCGTCCTCTGGGAGTCTTGAGCCGAACCAATTAGGCCGGCCGAAAGCAAATGTGGCCATTGGGACAAAGAGAATGAATCAGCCCCAAAATTCGATAATTTTACTCCACGGGTCTTGCATTAGGCTGCCACAAGCTTCCAAGAGCTCGCTACTCAATATTCTCTCTCGGCACGCTCGGCACCAAGCGCCCGTATTCCGCACTAGGAAGCTCATTTTCGCCCCCAAGACTTGACCAACGAGTCGAAATCTCCTTCTGCCTATTAAAACGGCGATCCAAGACTATCTAACCTTATCTGCCTCGGTTATTAGCCAGTCACCAGACACCGGACGCACCAAGCACTGGGCAGGGATGCAGATCGCTAGTGTCAGGCACGGCAAATGAGAGATCATGGTTCTTTGCTCCATTCTCGTTCTCGGTTATGGCTGAGTGCGGTGATATTGGGGGGAAGGGGGCGGGGGGAACTGATAACGGGTAAGATAAGCATAACCCGGAGACCTTTTTCACCAGCAACCGACTGTTTTCAGGAGGTATCCTTCTAGAAGGAATGTGGCAATCTCCGATCTACATGCATAAGTAACTCCACACGCGTCATTAGATCTACCCCGTACGATATCGTTGTTATGTACACTTTGGAAGCCAAGGAATGTGTCACGGGGGAATGTAAGGGGATTTGATTATTGGTTGCTTTTGCTGCAGTCGAACGCATTTCTGTCAGACTGCATTGTGCGGAGATGATGGCATTAAAGGAAGAGCAGAACACGGTCAGCTTCAAAATATGCAAGACGCGTTTTCTCCAATATTGAACTTCTGCGTAAAATTTCATGAGTCAGTGGGTCGATTCGCCTCTTCTAGCTAGTACACTTGTGCCTGCTGCACAGTACTTGTTCGTACCATATAGATTTCAGGTCATATGTTAGGATCATGAACACACATTGAAAACAAAAGAAGGCTGGAAAATAAGGAAGCAGTAATCGATAAAAAAAAGGAATCGACCAGCACATTGCTTCCCTATACCGAGCAAATATCGGGGGCTAATACCAGTCATACTTTCCAAACGCTTCATACCCATGGACCCTGCTCTATGTCGGTTGTAAAGAATGTCGAACCTGCTAAACCGCTAGAAGCGGGGACATGGCAAGGTCAATGTCACTGCCGCAGAACTCCATGCCGAAAGCGCTTTTTGAAATGACAAAACTCATAGGAGACACTGCTCCTTCCAGATATGTTCGGCGAAATGTCTGAGCTCTCCGGTGTGTATCACGATGTCTCTTTCTGAGGGGCGGTGGGGAGGATGCCCAGCAACCTTATGGAAGGGTAGATCTAGCTGGATGGTGGTCGTGGTTGTTCCATTCGTATACGACTCTCCGCGAACGGATGTCCTATTATCGGTGCGAGATAGTTTGAGAACTGCGGTGCAACGCGGCGAAAGAGGTGATGACCGGGTATGGACGCCAGCTCTGGGAACAACTTCCCATCTGCATAAAATGATATCGGGAGCGTTGCGTTTTATGCTGATCGTAACGACAATCACAGACGAGGAGTGAGTGAGCCAACCGTGCGCATCACGAGCAAGCTGTGGCTTAGACTCTGATAACCCTACTTCCACCACAAAGCTCGGCATGTTTGTCGAAGCAGGAGCCCAGCTGCTGTCAGCCTCCTTTTTCCACTTTCCGGCCTCAACTGTTGTCGACCCGAAAGGTAACACCTCATCATGGACGTGCATATCATGCAGACGGAGAGTCATGAGCGAATCAAACAATCTTATCGCGAGTTCATGTGCAGGTTTTGGCAGGACTTTGGCGATTAAGAGTCCCGTTTCTGTATTGAAAGAGAATCGACAATACTTGCTTGTTCGCGACCGATCATCAGTCAGTCTGGAAAATTGCGCCGGGGGGGACAGACATGAAGACGAGGTACTGATCCCGAGTTTTATCCTGCTCAAGCACTTGTCGACGCCGTTCCAAAGACTTGTGTAAGTTCTGACTGTTTGTGAATAGATGCTCTCCACTTCCTTCGCTAGTGGCGCAAAAGGACCCTCAGATTCAACTGGCCAGGGCGCAAAAGGGTCCTCAAATTCGGATTCAACTGGCCAGAGCTCAGAAGATGAAGACTGAGATGCGTTGTTTGTGGATTGAAGGAAGTCCATGGTGGGCGAGAAGGTAGGTTGGGGAGATGGGGAGTTAAAAGGAAGTGGGAGGTAGGAGGAAGTGGGGAGGCAGGTACGATGGGCATGGGCACGCGTATATACTCAGAGACTAGGTACTCACTTTTATTCTGTGACCAGTGAGCCCGTCATAAACTTGGAAGGGGTTAACATGGATGGTACCTTGCTTATTAAGGCAACTTTAATACTAATTCAGGTATTTTAGTTCTTCTTCCGGTTCTAATTCAGGAGTACTACGAGAAACCCTAGACCCGTTGATCGCCGTCTACCCGATCAACACACTTCCAGCTGGCCATTTGGTTCGCTGTGAATAATTTGCAATGCTTCCATGGCGGCCACAATTCCTTGCAGCACTTCAGCGACTGTCAGATCCTCATGAGAATCCACAAGTACCCCTTGTGGTGGTGGTGTTGGTGTCGTAATAATAGGGTTGGCGGGCTTGATGACATTCGTCTCGTCTTCCACACGAGTAGGGGTGCTTGAATCACCCAAAATCTCACTCAACGTAATTCGAGTACTCGCGGAAACCGGATTCTGGCTCTCCCGGGCTGCCTGGGACCTGGGGCTCATATTACCGTGCCCATGGGCGAACCGTCCGCGCTTACGACGATTGCCACGTCTTGGGCAGTTTGGCAGTAACTATCAAAGAAGTATTAATATCAAATGTATGTTGAGTTGGTATAAACCACTCACAGATGGGACAAAGTGTGGTGAGGGGGCGCGGGTCGGAGGCGGCTATCTTCAAGAACCATGACAAGGGCACTTTCAATCTGACGAAGCTCAGCGCGCTCAGCTGGGTCTTGTCATTTCTGGTGAGCTGTTTATCGAGAGTGTTAGCATGGCTTGAAACCGATGTTGTTATAAGGGTATGACTTACCAATTGGTGGCTCTCACGGACCAGAGATCGAGCCCTGGTCACCTTTTTCATGACTTGAGTACTGTAGTGATCACAACCGCAAGAGAGTATAGTGTGGGAAAAGGTACAGCGTATTTTACCACTAGACTATAACAAAAACCAAGGTACTTGTTTAGGGCCTAGCGGGGCCATATCTGTTCAGTTTCTTGTTCGACATATAGAATTGAGGGATGAGATAGGCATTTCTTGGATCTTCAACTCTCTCATCTACCATCGCCTTCCATCGCAATTCTCGCCAATAACTTTGAAATCTTTAACAACTGCATGGATCAATTGCAATTCTTCACTCTTCATTATCTTCCTAACTGTTGAAAGGTCATGTGACCTTTGCTTGCTGCTACCTACAATTAGTCTCTAGCAGTAGATAGTTTCTCTCTTCCTCACACAACTCGAGATTCTCCAGAGCCATCTATCTCCTCATAGTAGATCTCTAGACTCTCTCTCTGATAGGTTATGAGCGCCTAGCTCTGAAGCCTCTATTTAGCAATAAGCTTGATAGCCCCTCTTGCCTCCGGTTGGCGCTTACGTCGCGCCAAGGTGGTCGTCTGTGCGGTCCCAAGCCGGTCCCACAAAGCAGAGCTTTCACCAATCAGCAAACAAATTAGCCGAGATCTGCATTTGCAACTGCGCCAACCCCACAGCAGAGCATTCAGGTCTAGCCAATCAGAGCCCCTGTATTCCATCGAGATCTATTTCTCTCTTTCCTGTGCGTCCTTTCGACCGTTCATCCCGACCCACAAACCAAAAGCCCCACCTCATCTACTACCCGTTGTAGTAGGTCACCCAACTCGCCGAGATAGCAAGTTTTGGCCTCGTCGTCGATCATTCCAACAAGGAATACCAGTTTCCGCCACAGGATACTGGCCCTGACCCTGAACCATCTACGACTCCACCAGGATCGCCACCGAGGCGGTCACCATCTACAATGCCTTCGACTTTCGAATTCAACTTTGACCGTCGAAATGAATCTGGTATCGACAGGACGGTCCCAAAGCTGAAAGGAGAATCCAATTTCGACCAATGGCAGCATCATATGTACATGGCCTTGAAGGAAAACAACAAGGTGTATGTCCAGATTGTTCGGAGTGAAGTCCACAAGCTGTCTCCCCTTGAATACCTCAATGAATCTGCTGAAGTTGTCAGACAATTGGAACTTATAGGGCAGCGGAAATGAAGATCTTGTGACACCAACTGCAATCCAAGAACTGGTTAAAGAACGCTTGAACACCAATAGAACTCTCCGTTCGAACTATCAGAAGGAGCTGGATAAATGGGATCTGGCGAACACTCGCGTTTCCAACCTGCTATTCAGCATCTTAGATCCTATTCCTGCATCTCATATTGAGACTATTGAAAATGCGAGGGAGACTTTCAAGATCCTACGTGCCGAGTATGGATCTGCTTCCTTGCTTGCTTGCTCCTACCTACAATTAGTCTCTAGCAGTAGATAGTTTCTCTCTTCCTCATGCAACTCGAGATTTTCCAGAGCCATTTTTCTCCTCATAGTAGATCTCTAGACTCTATCTCCTGATACTAACGTTGCTACTAACAGCTTTACCGTGCTGTTTCTTGTCACTGAGCACCTAGTGCCTACATGTCTTGGTCTTCTCACTTCACGTTTACTTCCGCATAACCTCATATTTTCTTTACAGCATGGCTACTCAAAGATTGGACCGAATGCGCAGGGCTTAATCCCTCCTCCGCGAATGCCATGGCTGGGTAAGTCAGAACCACCTTCGTCAGTTTCACTTCAAATTTCACACTAACCTTATCGACGAACAGCTTGTGCAAAACGACGAGCTTCTGTTAGAAGTTGAGCTGCGCGCAATAGAAGGCGGCCTCGCACTTCTCTTCGAGAACAGAGGTCTCGCCAATTCCCCCTGTCCTGGACTTCAAGACGAGCAGCTTCCTCCGCTTGTGAGTACTGAGTACCCTATGACAAATGGTAATGCATTGAATGCTGACATTATGTTACCAATAGCCTCCCTCCACCAATGGCCAGAGACGCCGAAGCCTCCGCAGGTCCTACAATGGCCACCACAGGTCTCATCCAACTAACAGGGGCGGGGCTGAAATGTCCGCAAGCCGGGCCGGGGCCGGGCAAAATGCTCAGGCCCAGGTAACAGCAAGTACCTCTAGGGGCATAGTGAGCGACTCGACCACCCCTGATGCTGACCTCGAACCCCTTCACGTTCAAGCTGCTGTGACAGGCTGTGACAGGAACATCGCCGCCGAGAGGAGTGCTCTTGGATTTCAACGACGACGTGGAATTTGTCCAATTGGAACCGAATATGGTAGCCGACATGGAAGCAGCGCAAACAGCCAATCTTGCATCAAAGGAAAAACAGCGGGTGTCAGAGCGGCCCGTTGCTATAGGCAGCCATGCGCCAGCTCCGGGGGTCTCGGTCCCGGTGGTCGGTGAGGATGGATCCCCCCACCAGACCATTGATGCTGCGGCTCATGCCGCCTCAGCGGGCCTGGACACCACCGTCAGCAGCCACTATTCTCTCCCCGCAGTTATAGAAGATGTTGTCCCAGTCACGTCCCAATCACAGTTTCCAGGTTCGCTCGTGTCCGACTCCATTGAGGGCGGGTCATCTCATGCATCGCAAACATACCAGCGGGTGCATGAGATTACCCAGAGCCAAAAAGGTGATTCTGCGAATTCTAAGGAGTTCCCCTGTCAACCAACACAGGAGATTTCACCGAGGGCATGCCGGTTGATCTTGATGACGACCTGGATGTCATCCTTCCAGTAGGAACCGACAGACACTCATCCAGAAGAAAAGGATGTGCTTGCAGCGGGCCTTATCATCCTGGGGCTGGGCTTGATCTTGTACCAGAGGAAGAAGACGATGAAATTGTTTTCCAGGGAAACGCAGCAAAGGGTATCCGTCCGGATTCCAAAGCCTTGTTGTGAGTCGACTCTCAAACGGCCAGTCCTGCTATTGATTTCAGAGCAGTCCTGGAGAAATATTCCAAGGTAATCATTTCCAATTGACCATTCCCTAGCTCTGGTCGCTTTGTTTTGCATTCTACATGGGTTTCTGCATTTTGTTTCTTTTTCTGCATTTGAAATATGAAAAGCAAAAAAAGAAGAACGTCAGCGAGGACTTGAGATTTGTCCTTCCTCTTTCCTACCGGGCCATGTTTGTTTTTATTCTTGTTTATTGATTTTGCCTTACGTGTATTGCCCCGAGCAACCTTAGAATATCAAGGTGCTTGTGGGAGGACATTTCATGATTTCTACTAGTTTATGACACGTCCTTTTAAAGAAACCTTCGCTTTTTGCATTCCTTTGGCTGCTTTTATCGTGGCTTATATTTCCCAGTGGATTGCCATCAATCATTTAGGCATTGTTCATGTTACTTCGCCACCAGATCTGCTCGACAGTAGATCATATATAGATATATAGATGTATCTTGATCATCGGGCTACCAAGGAGACAAGGAGAAGGATAATTCAAACTGACAATTCTGCCGAGTATGAGGAAAGAGGACATGCTCTAGTTAGGCTTGAATGGCACCACATCTTGGTCAGTTGACTGGTGGACCGTAAAAAGAGGCCCTGTCTATAAGATTACCAAGGAGATAATGTGGAAACGATACGAAGGAACAGCGAGAAGATCGTGAAATAACAACCCGAAAGAATGTAAGACGGACATAGAGAAAAGAAATCTAGGCCCTGTGAAATACATAGAAGCCGAAGACAGAGTATAGACAGTAGGCTGAGTGCACTAGATATCAAAGCAGCCGCCATTGCAACAAGCCAGGGCTGGTTGCTGTCCGTCGGTTTTGTTTTTCAAGCCAGCATAGGGATTGCTGGCGATAGATTATCATATATCTATAGGACACGGAAGGTGGGAAATCGGTCAAGGTCAATGAGTTCAGATTTCGTTCAGGCGGGAAAGGTCGATATAAAATGGGCAATGGCAACACCGAGTAGAATAGAGACCTGGGGACAGATAAGAAGAGGATAACGGCGATGAGAAAGGTATCCAGAGCATGATACAATAGATTATTGGGCTCTTTGTCTTCATCTCAATGGATTTTCATACACACCTCAAACGGGTTGAGACAAGGCCCTATGAAACATGCCGAGAAAGGAAAGGGATAACAAAGGTGAGAGAAAAGAGGCTACTAAGATCATTGTTAGACTATAAGTTGAAGTATATCTTTACAGCCCAAGATCAGTTTGTAAAAAAACCTGCAAGTCGTTACATGTGATACAGAAACTAGGCGTCGCCTACATATGTAGATAGAGAAGACCTTCAGCTTTATAGTCAAATAAATTTCTACGGTTAATCTTAGATACACCAGAAAGAGATAGCATTAATCTAGAATACAGCAAGAAATGTCGAGCCAGAAAGAAAATAAGATTTGCAGCATTATGTCGTAATCTAGGTGACGGTAAAACTGCCGCCTCGGGAAGTGATTGGCTCCTAGAGCACAGGGTGAGCTAGTCACCCTACCGCCCTAAGCGGCTCACGAGCGACCCTGAGTAGCTCACTGAGTAACCTGATCGCTCACCCTAAGGCTTAGGCTGATCGGCCTATTTAATCTTATCTTGTCTCTCTAATCTTTTGAATGCTCCGATAATAACCGCACTGTTGCCTACTAGCTCCTAGGAGTGTAAGTGTAAAGTATAGGGGGGTCTAGTGTCTGTAGGATAGAACCTGTCAACTAGGTAAGGTAAAGATGCCTTAGGAACAGATGTACTGTAGAGAGAATACAGAGACTGATTCTTTGGGAACTCTCAGGTCCCTAAGAATGGGCTATTTAATATGGACAGAAGCGGGGTAGAGAGACGGTCAAGTAACACTATGGAACCGATATCAATAGGCTGGCTGCATACCGACTTATCTGTAGGACTTCACGGATCCAGGATTCACTCCGTGACACTATTTTTGTAAATAGCGGCTATCATAGGTTGTTAAAGGGATAGAACATTATAAAGTCTCTGATTGTCTACTATAAGTACCCTAAGTGAAGGGTGAGCTGATCCCTAAGTAACCATAAGTGCTTAGGGAGCGCTTTTCGAGCACTTAGTGAGCAAATAGTAAGAGTGGGCAGGGATAAATCACGTGATATGTTCATGACTAAGAACCTAGTAAATAGGACGCTTAAAATAGCGTCAAAACTAGCCGTTTTCGGTGCCCAATTTACCGTCACCTAGCGTTATGGCGTAAGGAAGAAATCATTCAATCTAGCAAATATGAACCTTTTATAGGTCACATCTATGAAAGAACAACGCTTAGTCTGCTAGCAAATAGAGCCTTATTCCACAGCCATCCATGGGAGACGGGATATCTTAACAATTTGTTATACCGTATGATGAGGGTGAAAATACTACGCGTGGCAGTGATGGTCGAGGAGGCTGGGCACGTATTTGAGATTGTGACCATTAAAGGAGAGGGCTACATTGTAAAACCAAGCTGCGGTTTGCGGCTCAACAGCTCTTCAAATCCTCCATAATCTTTCAGAGCTGAAATATATGCGGAGTTTGGATTCTGAAAGCCAAGAAAGTTTCGAAGCCAGCGATGACTCAATACAGCCCTCCTTATCTGATCTTTCCACAGATGGGGCTTTCCGTTAATACGGAGGGCCCGATTCATGAACTGTGGCTTAATTTTCGAATACCTAGCGAGGAAGACTTCCACATGATTTGCATTGGGACATGGAGGACAACTATGAAAAGAAGCTTGCTAAATTTCCTACGTCACCTTTGGGCAGTACCGAGATGGGGGAACGGTAGATTCAGAAACAGTATCGTTGGTGCTCTTCAGGATTTGTGAATCTGAGATCTGGGTCCTTCTTTGGAATATGAACGAGCTCCGGAGATAGTATACAATAATAGTTGGCCGTTGTTTGATTATTTTTAGTAGACTTTTCAGATATTTTTTCAGGTGTTTTTTCATAGATATCCTCCCCCTCCAATAATTTGTGTTGTGTGTAGCTAGAAGGATAAGAAGAACTAGCCGTAACATATAGAATATAGCTGTAAAGATGGGACTTTTCCATAATTTGTTGAATCCATACTGATACTGGACCCACTGTGCATGAAGTATCCTGTCCAATCTTTTTACTTTGGTAGGGCTCGAGTCACATATTTGTGCAAGTGTCAGATTTCTCTCAGTTTAGAACTTAGCTTTCTCAACTCTCTCAATGAATCTATCATTCTCACATTCCACCATGCACCTTAGTCTCTCTTTTAACACAAGGAGTGAAGTTATGTAGAATACTAGAGGTTGACGTATGATAATTTTAGACATTTCAATTGTCAATTGACTTTTCCCCGGAAAGTGTCCGTTCGAAAATTTCCAAGGTTCCAGGCAACCTAATGTCCCCTTAATAAAAAAATAAACATCCCTAGAGTAGGCTTCTCCTTCTACTCTTATTAAAGAAAAGAAACAAACCCCATGTAACTCGTAGATGCCTTCAATCTTTGAACTCCGGCCATGCTTGACCTACGGGCTAGACCCGAAACCCACACCAAAAACGTGAAAAACAAGAACCTGCAGCCCGACGCGAGAAGAGTTCAAATCAGAAAGTGAAATTGTCCTGGTAAATTCAAAACGCCGAGATCAGTTAACCATGGCGAAGCAGAGACTAGGAAACAATAAGCCTAGAAATTAATAACAAAAAAGATTAGAGAGGCATACATTATGTGCCAAATAAATGTACCATGCAACTTGGAGGATGGAGGATGGGCGGGAAGCATGCCAGGCGTCGTCGTGGAGGAAGAAAAGTAATGGTATAGAAACCAGGGTAGGGGTGTGCAACGAAAAGGTCAATCTTTGTATGGGTTGATTGCTCATCGAGGAAGCTTCTTGTTTGGGGCGACAGTTTTAAATTGGACTCTCGGCTGGTAATGGAGAGCACCGCCGTTCTCAAGCCAGGGTCCGAGATTCTTGCATTGACTGACATCGAAAACCTGGAGTTGGTGGCAGCCCTCCGCAACAGCCTCAACACCCACTCCAGTGACTCGAACACAGCCTCGGACCGATAAATGTCGAAGAGAAAGGAGGTGAAGACCAATGCTCCTTAGGGAGGGATCGGAAATTGCAGAGCCGCAGAACGCCATGTTGAGGTACTTCAAACGTGAGCATTGCAAGGCAAGGACCTCAGTTGCCGTATCTGACAATGCGCAGCAAAAGGTCTGGTGGAATCAGTAAACCATGCTATTTCACCTTTATTTTGAAAGAACTCCGCAAAGACTAGACTTACCAGATCTAATTCCTCCAAGTTTTTGGCCGCATTAGTTAAATGCACAATGGCGTTGTCCGTCAAATATGTGCAATCCGCCAAGCAAAGCTTCCGCAGGTTGGCGAACTGAGCATTCCCCCAGTATTTGAACCCTTGATCCGTGATTGTGGTGCAACGAGTCAAGTCCATTTCCTCAATCCGACCAGCGGCGTGAGACGCAATATGATGCATAGATCGATCGGTGACATGTTTGCAGTAAGAGAGAGTGAGTTTCTTCAACTTTGGACAACCGTATACTGTACATTCTGCTGTCTGGATTGTGGGTTTGATAGGTGACTGTTTCTCGCCCATTTTCTGGTCGGCGGGCACCACCCATCCAATCATCCGGGCGAGAAGCGTATCTCCGACCTTGCGGCAGTTGCTCAAGTCTACCTCCTGTATATTTGTAGCTTTGCTGGACATGTCAAGAATGGCAGAGGCCGTTACATCCCACACACTCTTCATCTTCCATACAGTGGTATTTGGGGCACAAGTCGCGGCCAACGCTGTGAAGC